TAATAATAATAATAATAATAATAATAATAATAATAATAATAATAATATTTTTTTGATATGCTACTTCATAATAGAAGGTTTTATTGTTGATATTTTTTTTATATTACATATTACAGTAACTGAATATTATCTTTAAGCAAATCTATATATCTAAAATTTTAAAAAGTTAATAGTTTAGACACTAACCAAGAAGATTTTATTTAGCGTTGGCAACTTGTTAGACAAGGACAGACACTACTTCGAGCTATTTCACGTGGCTTGGGTTTTTACTTTTACTTAAAATAAACCTTAACGTAACACGATAAGGTGCAAATTTGTAATATTGGCACATCAAAGTGAGCGATCCAATTTATGAAGTATATGTATAAATCCGTGGATTTTTTGTTACTTGTGATTTGCAATATTAATGAACTGTCACAAAAAAAATATTGTCTGTGATAATTATAGCATTAAACTTTGATTTTAAATATTAGTTAAGCTTCATTTTTTGTTGCTTGTGATTTCCAATACGTAAACCTGTATAATATGTGTACCTTACAAATGAGTACATACAATGAGGGGATCCGTCGGGAGTGTTAAAATATAGAGGGGGTCAATTGGGATTTAAAACTGGCAGTGGTTCAGTTTAGGGGATCAGATGGTAATAAATATTATAAAACAGATAGGTGATACAAAATATCAATCAGAACAAATCGATACCTCACACGTAAGTTGTTGTAAGTCAAAATATCCTTTTTTGATTTTTATCTTAAATATTTCCTTTTTTAACCGACTTCAAAAAAAGGAGAAGGTTCTACGTTCGGCTTTATGTGTATTTTATGTATATTTTCCGATTTCTCCGTCAATTGTGGACCGATTAAGAAAATTCTTTTTTTAGTACAGCGCATGGCGTAAGGTTTTCGCCGTATGTTGCTCAGAGTGCGCCATAAGTACAGGAAAAGAATGGTACGTTGTGCGGGGAGGCTCTCGTGATATTTTGTGGCACCACATGGCAGCATGTTTAGCAATGCGCAACTTATGTAATATGATAATGATAATTCCTAAACATTAAAAACATATTGTACAAAAAGCGTTTAATTATCATTTACTATTTACATCTCTAATTATCAATAAAATTTTATATTACACTATTTATAGTTATGATACAAATTTATCTACAGAATTGAAAATTTTTCCAATAAGCTTTTGAATGCGTAAGTTACTCCAGACACTAAGGCGATTAAAGCGAAAATTGCTAAGATGAAATTCTTCCACACCACCCAACTGGTGGGTCCGACGTCCTTGCCCCACCGGAAGACGGTTTCCGTGACAACAGGGAGGAGTAAACCCATGACCGACAGGCATATAGCTCCCACTAACTCCATGAACAGTTCTATATAGGGCACTGCGCTCGCGATGCTCACTGAAAAAAAAAAATACGGTACTTTAATCATTTATTTCCACATTAACTACGTAATGAAATAAAATAAACTATCCAAAATTATAGGAATGAAACTATTTTTCCGGTTTTAAATCGTGTATATTTGTTTTTTTCAAACAAACCAACGTTTCGGGCCCTTTACAGGTCCCATGGACACGGTTGACTGAGGTGGTGTAGTCATCAACCAGTTATGTCTAATATTAATGCAAACCACTGACTGAACATACGCGATTTTAATCCGGAAAAATAGTTTCATTTGTTATGTGTAACAATCGCGAAAACCTAAAGAACTCAATATCTAAAATTATTTTAAAAACATTATGTTATTTGTGTATAGGAGATTCTCAGTATTTACAAAGTTATCAGAAGTCGCCCAGCACAGGTTTTCAGCCAGCTCCGAACCTTGGCAAACACAATCGTATTTCGGATCTGGGGGTCTAATCACGTTCTAAGTCAACATCCGTCCGAAACAATTACTGCGAAAAAAATGATTTTCGACCAAATAAAAAAACTATCTCAATTATGAAGCTACATTTGCATCATGCATCTTTAAATTTAGTCGAGTATTACTCAGTCAATGAGTATTACTTATATTTTTTTACAATATTAAGTGACGGGACGAGCAAGTCATGTGCTTAGTGCCACTCAGAGCTTTAAATCGCAAACATCTGAGGGCCACTGCCATTGCGTCCGACACCCTGCGACATAAGTTGACAAGTCCCATATGGCTGTAATTTCACCAGCATCTATACCCCTCGAAATTGGAACGCAGTAATGTTTATATTACTGCTTGGCGGCAAAAATAGGTAAGGTGGCAGTACTTCCCTGGCCGAACTCTTGCACAAGTAGCTCTACTGCCACTAGTCGGATAGAGAAAGGGAGTAGACCCCCTGTTTCGCAAACGTAGTCAACCTAGTGGTTGTAATAGAATGCTACATAAAGATTTAAAAAAGAACCATTTCATGCCCAATTATCAATAAAATTGTAAAGCTTAATCTGAATAATTGAATAAATGAATAATCTCTATTTAAATAAACAATCTGTCTGTGCATTTACATATCGGATTATTTTTTTAATATTAACAACTTGGTAGGATGTCATCGTAAATAACAACTTTTGTTGCATGACCTTTTACAAAAATAATAAATTTATCAAAAATAAACTTTTAAGTTTTTATTAATAATTATATCAAAGATCTAAACTCAGAAAAAATTCCTTCGATCCGGTGTTCGATATTTGTATTATTAATTGATTTGCAATACGTCAACCTGTATAATATGTGTATCTTACAAATGAGTACATACAATGACCCCTCATTATATGTACTCCGTCGGGAGTTTCAAAATATAGAGGGGATCAGTTGGGTTTCAAAACTGGCAGTGGGTCAGTTTAATTATTAATTGTAACAAACTAGTGGAGTAATTTCACATAAAAATAATTGAATATCAATTCAATAAAAATTTTAAGTTTTTGTTGTACTATCTGATACTTTTTAGATCTGTTTCTTGGTAGCAAGTTACAGTTAAGTTAAACGAAAGTATAATCTGGTGAATTATTTAAATCATGGCACAAAAGTTGTTTTGTGTGATGATGGTAATATTTTTACAAATAACCCTCTACAGTATAAATATACATTGCACATTTGCACACATACCTAACTTAACCTAAGCCAATCAAATACAGTAAAAAAATGAAATTCGTATGTAATCTGGTTTATTTATTTATTGCCACATAAGTAGGATAGTCCTGGAGTGTCTCTTTCTGCTTGGTCAACATCGCCTTTTTCATATGTTGTTTAACGGCGTATAAAGATAGGAAATAGATATAAAACAGGTTCAATAAGATTATCTTATATATTTTCATTCTTACTATTCTCATAGCACTAGGAATTCCCAAGTTTGAGACCAGGCAACTGGTGTGGTCGTCTGGTACTTATTACAAGGTTTTGTAATCAGTGTTACAAGGGGTATCGTTTATACCAATTAACTAGTGCATATTTAAATATGTAGATGGCGACACTTGGATAAAAAAAAAATCAAGTAATCAATCTCCAAAATTTGAGGTATGTCTAAATGTAAAATTATAGAAGTGTAAAATATAAAATAGGAATGCAAAACTATTTAAATAAAATTTTTAGGAATGTTCAATTAAAATTCATTTACATTTATGACAATTGGTGAAATGTAAAATTTAAAGTTTCTCTACGGTTATATTCTTTGTCAGTTTGCAATATATTGTATAGATGGCATTTCTTTCAATTTATTATCGAAACTAAATAACATTTTAGCACTGACTTTTACTTTAAAATATTAAAAGTACAGATTCAGCATTTTGCGATTTTATATTGTTATTGTATGTTATAACCAATGTCTGAACAAGAGCAATAACCTTGGTAAAAATGTAATAGCTGCCATCTATTGGCCTTTTTGAATATTATTACAATCGCTTCGCGGGTTTACTTGATACCATCTATTGATCAGTGAGAAGCATCCGAATAATCGGAGTTACGAGTGCGACATTTCTTTGTACGAGAATGGCTTTTTTTATTAGAGTAGTACTGATATTATCTGTGATATTATTATTAAGTTTTTACTTCATATCGTTTGATCTTACTAACCTTTTGACTTCATTTACTTTTTAAATGAAAAATATATTATTAACTGGTCATAGTTTTATACAAAAATACATAAATACTTTTATTCCCAGTAGGTCCATGTATTCAGTGCCATGTGGAACAACGTCGCGGTATGTTCTAACCTGATGAACATTAAAACATTCCATTCTGTATGAAACTTAATTTTTTTTATTTGCCATTATTCACTAAGAAAACATGAAACCACCGATATCACGCCGCATCTCTCTCAAGGCACCTACACATGAAATTGAAAAAATGGTATGTTCATTATTCGTACCAATAATTAATGTTCCAAGAAGCCGTATACCACTGAGTGCCCAGATCTGTCTATTGGCTGGAATCCGGTCCTGGAGTCTTCTCCACACAACATCTACGGGTATATAGTATATCAGTGTGAACGATAGAATCATCACGCACGCCACCAAGATCTTGGCCGTCTGTGCTAGGCTAAATTGGAGAAAAAATAAGGAAAATTAGTTTTTAAATTTTAAATTCTGTAAACAAAATAAATCATGCTATTTTTAATGGCTATAACTTGTTTGATGTTAAGCGACGATGTGGCTTAACATCAGACTTTAGTAGCAGTAGAGTACCTTGTGAAAGAGTTCATCTAGGGAAGTACTGTCCCTTCACCCATTTCTGCTACCAAGCAGTAATGTGGGCATTACCGCGTTCCGCTTTTGAAGCGTAAGTGAAACTACAAGCACACGGGACTTGTCAACTTATATCTCAGGGTGGTGGGCATAGTGGCAGAATCAGGTCTTTGTGATTTACAGCTCTGAGTGGCACTGTAATTGTTATGGAATGGACAGGAGTGTCGCTTACCTAGTATCATAAAAAGAAGACCTAAAATCCAATCCAAAATTGTAGTTTTCGGAAAACTCAGTCAATTCATGTATTCTATTCCTTTGCCTTAAGCATTAGGGAGGAGGAAGCAAGGCATTTGGATGGTGAAAACAGATGGTACATCAACGACTCACATTTCATCCTGAGGTAGACTAAGTGTTAGGCTTCCCGAAACATCGTTTCCAAATTGCCAATACCCTGAGAAGCCAACGAAGCCGTAGAAGATCACGATTGTGGTTATAGCGATGTTCAATACTCCAGGGCAGCCCAGAAACTGCTGTGGTTTAATCATCTCGTTTTCCACTGGCATTACTACGCCAATGCCCTCCATTGCAAACAGGCATATGCTGAAAATACGGAATAATAAATGTTAATAATAATCATACAAATAGTCGAGTTTCAAACAAGGGGATAATCTCGAGAATTCCTCAAAAGTTTAACTTCAGATTTACGTGTGGAACAGTGGGGTTTGTCCGAAAAAAATTAGTGACAATGGTAACGCCGCAAGGAATCGAGGTTAGGTTAGTTGTCGACAGCGAGAGAGGGTAGACAGATGCCTATTCTTAAAGCTGTCAACAGCCGCTGGCCAGTCAACCCGTGACCATGGAGCGTGTAATTGATACGAAATATCGGGTAAAATAAAAAAATCACACCGTGGTTACAAACCTGAGTATACTTTTGGAATATACTTTTATGGTACACAAATCGGCAGATAGCTCATATTATGATCATCATCATCAAACCATTTATACGTTCCCCTGCTGGGCACGAGTCTTCTCTCAGTAGAGGGCTCAACGCGAGTTAGGCACTTCATACAATTTTTGAGAGTTGTGAACCTCTTTCGACGTACAGGAAAAGCTCATGGTAAATTAGAAATCAAATTTCGCACATAAACTTCGAGAAACTCACAGGTCAACTCAGCGAACCCGGACACAGATTACTTAATAGTGGCTCGGATTCGAACCCACAGCCTCTGCTTGAGAGGAGGTTCGACCTACCACGGCTACCTTTCATTTAATAAATAAATAAGTATTAGACAACATCACATGCATTGCTCTGATCCCAAATTAAGTAAAACCACTTGTGTCATGGAAATCGGAAACAACGACCGCACCAAAAACACCCAAACCCGGGACAATATAGAAAAGTTAGTTTTCTACACTGACCCGGCCGAGGATCGAACCCGGGACCTCAGAGATGGCGACACCGTGAAAACCGGTGTGCAAGTCAATCGACCACGGAGGCTGTCAATGACAGAAATCATAAACGCTGATTCTTTAACCGCGGATAACTATATACTTGATACCTGCTAATTAACCCATAAAGAAACTACGTGGCCAGACGAAAAGTTTTATTCCGTTCATTTCACTAATTAGGCAACTTACTGTGATTGTATTAAAGTTTAATAAGGTCTTCGGGCACTTTTAAATTAGACGCTCGAGGAAGCGCGAAAATTTTTTTATTGATGATTCATCTTTGGATTCTGTTACGCGAAGAATTCTGACAAAGTAACATAATTTTTGTTTAATATCAAGTCTTCATTTGTTATCATTATTTTATTAAAATGAATATTCACAAGGTTTAGTAGCAATATGGTCATAAAATTTACATCAATCTTCCTACGTTGTTTTTCCCTGTCGATTAGAGTAACCGGCAAAACTTTTACGTTTTAGTTAATGCCAAGGTATTAATATACATTTGCATATTTTTAGAATAAAGAAATTATAAAACAATGTATTTTAGAATAAATGCAAGAACATAACGCAATTGATTCAGTTCGTCCATAGACTAAGTAACGATCTTGTGTTCTTGTACGTACGTTTCATTGTAAGCATGATTGAATGTTTACCTACCCAAAGTATTGGTTATTTTATAGTACAAACATATTAAAGCTCTAAAATACCTAATCAAAATAATCAATTAAAGAGTAATGACAAAGTTAAAAATAAAACACAATGTGACAAAAATGTTTAGACAATATTTAAATAAGAAATAAAAAAGTTAGCAAACGTTTTGACTGGAGGCCTCTTGCCAATGTCAATGCGACACTGAGATTGAGTCAACAGTCTGACCATTTGTGGCAAATTTCTGCCATTTGGACAGATATAATTTTCTTTAACTGAGTCACAAAATATACGGGATACCGCCATTTTTCTTTGTTGTGGCGCCACAGTGGTAACACTGAAACGCATCTATGAACGTCTAATTTGGTCCCGAAAAGTAATTTCGCTAATGATATTTATTTATTTATTTATTTGAGATAACAACAGCAAATATTGATAGGTTCTAAAAAAATTACATATTACAAAGCCAGTAACAGTTATCCTCGATTTATACATTAAAAATAAAAACAGAGCACGGTATGTCCATAAACATGATAAATAATAATACAGACTTAGAATAATAACGCATAGAAACCTAGTCCGCACACGCTAAGTGAGGCAAATTGAAGCGCGCCCAAGGGGCCTTTTTTTTTTTTTTTGAGAATATTAAACTGGATGTAACCAGTTTAATATTCTTTTATATATATATACTTTAGGAGAAACAGTTAGAAGTCGGCAGATGGCTGTTAAAAGTTAGTATACTCCTGTTGTGTATGTTCAACGGCAAACTACTATAACGCGTTTTATTCAAAATATAAAAAATATCATCGTTGGTTCATAGCAAATACTTGATTACAGCAGGAGTAAATTAATTATTGAGAATGTAATTTGCAAAATGCAATTTACACAATTATTGATAGAGAAATAACAAATATTGAATAAGTGAAACGTTGCTATTTTCTTAGTTCTTATTTTAGAGCGATATTAGTTATAATTAGCAAATTTGTGAGCGCATAACTTTACAAATGAATACTTTTCCCATAGACAACATGGTGACTTTATGTGCCAGCGCAAGCCGGCCGGACGGCGGAGAAGCGCTTCGAAGAAGACTTTACGCTTGCTACCGCACACTGAAGAGGGATATCTCTTACGATACGGCGTACTGTAAAGTCCGCTTGAATGCATCCGCGGCATCCGTCGACATGCCACCGTTCGCTCGGATTTGATTCTATTCCATTATATGAATTTAGGCATGCAGATTCCAGGGCACATCGGTGAATTACGGCTTGTGCCGGTGGATTCCGTCGTATATTAGCGCTTCCGACCACGGTATTTTCTAGCGTGCTATTCGATACCGCAGAGAGATAGTGCTGTGATACTCCGAGGTTGATATCAGAACATTTAAATTTATACCTTATATTACAATAAAATAGCATAGAATATATATTGATAAATTAAATGTTCCTTAACCTCAGACAACAACAGATCGAAATTCGAAATTTAAGTTTAACATATTTGAGACGTGCGATCAAACAAAACGAGCAAATGTGGTAGCAACAGAAAATCGATTTTTTCGATCGACACTTGGGATCAAACAAAACGAGCAAATGTGGTAGCAACTGACGATCGTCATTGTCGACAAGTGCGTAGTCAACACAAGGTACCCGCAGATTTGCTCGATCGCACCTATGGAAACCATCGACATTGTCAATCGACAGTAACGATCGCTAAAATCGAGCAAATCTATGGGCACCTGTCGAGTGAATGCCAAGAAAGCTTCGCTCACTCCGTTGGCTGCGCTCTGCAATTACATATTGTCTTTAGACAATAGTTAGTATAGTTTAGTTAATATAGTTTACTATGACGTTAGAGCATAATTTTCTTACTCACCTAATAAAACTAGGTATCGCTGTAATAGACGTAGCGAGGTTCCTGTCTTTGATTGCCGGGGGATCTTTCAAACAGTAGTACAGGCATATACATATCGATCCGAGCCACACGAAATTGGCAAACGCTGAGAAAGGCACCAGGTATTTGAGCTTAGTGATTTGTGACAGCGGCACCAGAACCACGAGGCACACCGCACAGAATAAGCTCACTGACCAACTTGGGCCGCCGTAAGCATCTGAAATCTAAAGACAAATCGGTCAAATACGAGTATTTTTCGTGAATTTTATAAATTCATTAACCAGTGTCAATATTTTTATTTTACTATCCACCACTTCAGCGCGAGCTCGATGGCTATTGATACCAAAATAGCGAGGTCACGATAGCTTTTACTGGCATTTTTTAGTAGAAATAGGCCGAGGAAATTTCCGATCTCGCGTCTAATTTCGCCTCATCGCGCGCTGGTGGAAAAGCACCATTATTGTCGGTTATTACAATTTTAAGGTTACATTCTTTTGACTTTTTTTAACGCACGCACTCAATAGCCCTGTACTAGGGTGCCATGTATACACACATAGACAACAACAAATGACACCCAAATTCACGAGAGAAATAAACGTAGGCCATACAAATATTTTCCCGGCCCGGGAATCGAACGTGAGATCTCTGCGTGGCAGTCCGGCATGGTAACCGTTCGGCCACGGAAACAGTTAACTATCTAGCTCAGACCTCTGAAGAGGTTGAGCTACTATATAAATTAGCTAAGGAAACAATTAGGTTATGAAATGTGTACCATTAAGAGACCCACTATGTGGGGTCATTTGTAAAACCCTCTACAAACAAATAGAGATGTAAAAAAATAAACAGGTATGTCTCTCTATTACAATTTCAACCAATTTGAATTAAATATTCTAAAGATAATTTGTAATCAAAATGTTATGAGTTAAGTTGTAGAAGCAGTAGAACTCCTGGTGAAAGAGATCGTTCGGGAAAATATGCCACCTTATCTATTTCTGTCGCCAAGCAGTAATGTAAGCATTACTGCGTTCCAGTATTGAAGGGTAAGGGTGCTGGTGATATTACAGGCACATAGGCCTTGTCAATTTGTCTCAGGGTAACAGGCGCAGTGGCAGTGCCCCTCAGATCTTTGCGATTTAATTGTCTTGCAATTGTTATAGACAGGCGTGTAGCTGACCATCAAGTGCAAAATTTGTTCGTCCCGTCACTTGACGTTATAAAAAAAAAATTAGTATATAAAGCTTTCAACAGAAACGCTTCCACACGCACACGTGCACGTCACGTTACAAAATAGCTTCCACATGCACAAGAGCCTTAACGTCACGTTACAAAATGCTGTATTGTTTTATTTTTTCCAGCTTTTACGAGATTATAAAACTGCTGGTGAATATTTAAATTCAACAAGCTTTGCTTTGACATGGTTTTAATAATTTCACATTGAAGCGTATGCGTATGTCGTGTATCACAATTCTATAGAGTTGTAAAGAGCTTTTGAATGAATTATTTTTGTAAGTGTATGTTTTTAAAAACAATTTCACCAACAAATAGTACTTTTAGAAAAAAAGAAACTGTCTTTTTGACTATGGCTTTTCGACAATCAACTTTGTGTTGTTCTTGAATTTAGTTTAGACTGCCTCCGTGGCCGAACGGTTGCCATGCCACGCTGAGGTCCCAGGTTCGATTCCCGGGCAGGGAGAAATATTTGTATGGCCTACGTTTATTTCTCTCGTGAGTTTGGGTGTAATTTGTGGTTGTCTATGTATGTTTGTCCATGGCACCCGCGATGCAGGGTTTCCCTAGTGCAGAGCTATGAGTGTTAAAAGAAAATCGAACCCGTGACCTCTGTGTGGTAGTCCGGCATGATAACCGTTCGGCCACAGAGGTAGTTATTCAAATATATACTAAGTGTACTAGAAAAGTAAAAGCAATTTATGTCAATAAGGTTGAAAATCGAGTATACCTGTTTAAAAGACTCCGCGATTATAACTACGTAGACGCAGCATGCCCCAAAATGTGTTGTTGCTAACGCCCAATCAGCTATTTCTCTGCAAAACAATCATAAATATAAATTACTGAGCTTAAGCACACCGTAGCTTAGAGGTTACATCGTCGTTTAGAATTAGTTATTTACCGCACAACCTAAAATAATGTACTTCAATAACTTTTCCCGTCAAAATTACAAGTTACATTCAATCGTACTAGAGAAATTTTACAATATGACAGAATACCACCGTTGCTATTTTTATAAAACTGAAGTTATGTGGAAAATCAAACCATTTTTCCGGATAAAAGTTGGGTATATTTGTTTGCTGAAACAAACCAATATTTCGGGCTCTTTACAAGTCTACATCTATAATATTGGTAATATTATAGAATAGAACAGCAAGTTCTTATCCATTACCTACTATTAATACAAAGATCTAACTCAAATAATATCGTTCTATCTGACTGGACTCGTATCAGTATGCGTTGCCATGAGGGCACCACTCTTGGGAGTCACGATTCTTATTAACGCAGAAATAACAGAACGGGGGCCCTGTGATGTTTCCAATTTAGGACGTTAATGGGCATTTCTCCAAAGCAGCAATTTTCAGTGTTCATGCACTAAACTCCACTTATTTATCAAAACAAAAATCTACAAAAAAAGAGAGTACAATATAGGTCGAAAGCTAACTGGAGAGCACAAAATTTTCCCAATAAACCTTTTGGACCTAATGGAAAAAAATCCGAAAGGTCTAAAGCCTGACAACGGTGGCGTGTCCCGAATGCAGAATCCCACATTAATTGTCATTTTTCTCAAAATTGAAACCGTATATCACTATTAGACTTTAGTTAACGTATTATATTAGATGACAGTACTTCTAATCTGAATTTCACAATAAACTAGACAATAGTTTTATCACACTATCAAGATTGCTGCGTGTCCCAGGCTTACGAGGTAATTCGGTGGTAGTTACTAATCACGCTACTCATAAGTAGTGAAGCATTTTAGAAGCTTTGGAATACGTTCGTATTGTTCGTCCATCACGCCCCTGCGGCTGGAAAGAACAGGTAGACGATTTGTTGACGATTTTAGGACTTTTTGCGTGTAAATACGTAACTCGGTGGATGCATACGATATTTCAAAAACTACATTTTATGGTTGTATGTAATATTTTTTATGTTATGTGTTGTAACGACTAAAAATAATAACAATTTATAGGTTTTACAAGTGTTGTCGTTTACGAGTAATATCAAAAATATGTATATTTTCTGAATCCTGTGGCTTTGGATTCGGTGGATTTTATGCCACCGAATTCAGAAAAGCTACAACCGAAGTCGGAAAAACCTGCCATTGAAGCCATTTTTTTTTTGAAAATCAAGAATTTTACACATTTTTTCGTATAAACGGTTAGTTAATACTGTTGATTTTCACAATTTTATATTACTACTTGCTTCCCACACTTTCCACAAAATTGGGAATCAAGAAGATGAAGGAACGTGCTAGAAAAGCAAACATAAAAAAAGCGATCCGATTATATATGAAAGGTTTAAAGAAAAAGATAGACAGAGGTATGCGAGGAAAAAGTAGAAGGAAAGATTTTAAAGCTGCATGAATTACCTCGTCATGTACAAAAAGTAATGAAAGATATTAATCGCACATGTTTCCAAACATTTATTGCTTTTGTAGTTACCTACAGATTAAGTTGTAAATTTTTGTTTAAAAGAGGTACGGAAATACTTTGCGTGATTGAAAAAAGGCTGAACAGCGAAATTGTAAACTGATTTTAATTAATAGTCATAAGATGAAAATTGTTGGCGTTATTCTGGTTGATTTATAAATAAATTTTAGTTTTTAAGCCTGGTTAACTAACTATTAAGTTAGTCATATTAGTAAATGTTTATGGAGATTATTGAATGTTTTTATTGCCTTTTTCATAGTATTTTATACAAAAATTATGCCTTTTGCAAAGAAATTCTGATTTCGGTGGTAACTGAATTTGGTGGATCAAATATGTCATTAAGTATTAAGAATCTAGTTGCCCAATTAACGGAATCTTATGTAAGTATAAGTTCTTTTTCCTTCCCGCTCAATGTTTTTCCTGAAATTAAGAAAAAAAACTCGACCACTGAAGTCAGAGGATTTAGCCCTTCTTGGAGAAATGCCCTAATAATAATTTTCGAGATATTACTTTTTGAAAATATGAAAAATATTATCTTAATATCATATATCATGGCACTAAGTGCAAGGCGAGCGTTATCTGCATTGCATTTGTTTTCAAGAACATTCTCAAAAACCATTGGCAGCGGTGCCCGGACGGTTGCGTCGGTGCGCGAATGGCCGCGATAGCGTGCGCTGCATCAACGGCGAATCGGCTTAATGTGACAAGAGTGGTTAAACCTTAGAATAATAACGCATAGAATGATAGTTTCATATCAAACGAACTGTCACAAGTGAGGCAAAAATCAAATTCATGTAGGCTAGTTTTAGTAGTAGTTTCGGTTTTAGTGAATATTTGTAGAAAAATACAAGTTGAAACGCGTTACTTCCTTGTGGAATGTGATGTTAGTATCTATTTTATGTTTGTTTGTCGTATTTTTACACTCATTTACCGCACATTTCGTCATTTTTAGCTAAAATTCTGGAGCTGTTCGCGGTGCAAGTTGACCTTGAGCACTGACGGCCCGCCCGCTCGTGTAGGCCCTTTTGGCGCGCTTCAATTTGCCTCACTTAGCGTGTGCGGACTAGGTTTCTATGCGTTATTATTCTAAGGGTTAAACACAATTCCGCGTAAGAATCGATACTACCTGAGTTCGAATTACAATTTTACCCGTATTAATGCGGTTCATTTTTCTTGGGTCAAGCGATAGGACCACTGGCTTTATTTCAGAATTTATTTCTTTAAGAAACGATATTAAAGCCGTTTGAAAAATGTATATCGTATATTTTACTATATATTTTTTCCAAAGTGATCGATAAAACACTTTCTCTATTATGTGGAATCAACCAAAGCCATTTGAAGTTGTATAGACTCGGAGAACGGGTGCGGATCGGGCGCGTGTCGGGTTGGAAGTTCGGCGGGTGTAATTCCATGTATGTGTCAATGGAAATACACCCAAGGCGGGTCCCGCCCGAGACCGCTGTCAGTGACTCTCTTATCAACCAATTGAGCTACAGGCTGAGTCAGCATGTCTTAGGAATTTCTCTGTGCTTGTTATACATCTTTGTATTGAGCTTAGGCGGCATTCTTTGCCGTCCATCGGTGGGAAATTAATGAATTTGAAATTGTTTGAAAGTCTTTGAAGGTCTTTGTCTTCAAAATTAAATATAAAGTATCCGTTCGTACACCTAGATATAAAATCCGTTTCTCAAGATCACTTTGTCGTAGCAATGTCGGCAAACGCTCTCCAGTTTATAGGATGTGTTGCAATTATAATAAAATTATAGTTTCCAGGACGTGGATATACACATCAAAAGTGTCTAGGGATCAAGTGAATATTTTTGAAATAAAAATTATTTAAACAATATTTACCGAATCCAGTCTTCCAGGACGACTTCTTACTTTAATGCTTATGTTTTATTTAACCGCTTACCCCTATATTTAATTAAAATAAACTAAAATTGATGTTTTTGCAAATTGTGGGAAAAAACTCAAATTAACGGCGTCAATTAAATGACAAAAAAATGGCGAAAATGATGATTTTGCTCATTTTTATTGTAAAGATAAGAAAATTAATAATCTGTATTTCCACCATTAACACGAATCACACAATTACAGCGACTTGGCATGCTTAAGATGAGTTCATCAAAATCACTTTGAGGAATGGCCGCCCATGTGTTTTGTAACAAGTCAAAATATTGTTGTAGAGTATGTACGGTATGCATACTCGGCACAGCTCTTCTTTGAAGCATATCCCATGCGTGCTCAATTGGATTGAGGTCTGGTGATTGAGCAGGCCACGACAGAACGTTGATACGAGCTTCGGCAAGAATGCGTGTTACGACTCTAGCCGTGTGTGGACGTGTGTTGTCATGCATTAGTTGAAATGAATCACCCAACTGGCCTCGCAAAGGGATGATAACATCTGAAACAATCCTTTCTGCGTAAACTTGAGCATTGAGGTTACCCCTGATCCAAATGAGATCGGTTCTTCCGCCGATCCAAATACCGGCCCATATCATTATTGTTCCCCCACCATATGGATGAATTTCCTGACAATATCTCAAACGTTCATGACGTCCAGATGTTCTCCAAACTCGAGTACGTCTTGTATCCGGTCTCATACCGAAGCGGGATTCATCCGAAAAGCACACATAGCGCCAGTCTTCTTCCTCCCAGTTTCTGTGTTCGCGAGCCCATCGTAAACGGGTCCTGCGATTGCAGGGTGCAATAGGTGGAACTCTGAGCGGCCTTCGGGATCGCAGACCCACTTCACGTAAACGATTTCGGATTGTTTGATCGCTTATTAGCAAGCCTGAGGAGCTGTGGAGCCTCGTAACCAACATCATGGCGGTCATGGTACGATTCCGTCGAGCAGTATTTTGGATACACCGGTCCTGTCTGCGAGTCGTGATGCGAGATCGTCCTCCATGTCGCTCGGCCACGCTGCCCGTCATGCGATAGCGCGTCCAGAGGCGACTTATGACGCTCTGTGTAGTGTTAAGAGTGAAAGCCACAGCACGTTGCCTGGAACCAGCTTCCAACATTCCGACGGCTCGCATCATCACTTCTCGGGTTAAATGATGTCGTCTCTCCATAATAATGTAAATTGTTTCGGTTCCGATGCAGATATTGTAATGATTTTGTCAAAACGCTATAACTCATTTTTATACAAAACCACATTGACAATCGAATTTTAAACAATATTCCTTATTTAAATGTTAAAACTCACTAAAAAGTATCAATAGCGATACAAAAAAGTTAATATAATTAACCCTAATTGCAGCAATACTCTTAAACGTACTTGAACCCTAGACACTTTTGATGTGTGTATTTTAGTACCCCTCTGTACATGTATAAGTGTGAAGTTTCTATCACACTGAATAGTGGCTCCTTCTGATTTCTACGGTATTTATTATTACTATTGTAATTAATTTGATATGTATTGTTATGTAGATGTACGTATGTATGTGTATATATATAAATATAATGTAAGCATGTGGCTATATAACATATAAGTTTTATTTATTATTTATTTTACTTAATTTCTCCCTATATGTAAAAAACGAAATGTTGAAATATAATTCGTGCATGTATCACGCGAGTCATAGAATGCCTTAATCGTCACACTTTATGTAACGCGTTGTTGGTTCATATTTATTTAATCTTGCTTTCTACTTTCTTTATCTGATAAATAAATAAATAATAATAAAGAATTAGTGTAGTATATAATGTGATGGATGGAGTTTATGTAACTGTCTCCATGGCCGAACAGACATCACGCTGGTCTGCCATGCAGAGATCTCAGGTTCTATTTGCAAGCCGGGTGGAATATTTGTATGGCCTACATTTCTCTTGTGAGTATGGGTGTAATTTGTGGTTGCATAAGTGTGTGTTCATGATACCCGTGATAAAGAGTTTATATATAATAATAAAATTATAACGCACACAACGTTATTATTATTATCTATTTTTGACTCTCTCGTCTCTCAAGGCCGAAAAGATTAATTTATTAATTTTTTTTTTTTTCACTTTGTACCTCTCAGTTTGTTAGCTGGTTTGAAACGCATTTACGGACCGAAGTCAAGTAAATGCAGTATGGCGTGTATCTACGAATATGTGGTGGGTGTGCAATAAGATCATACTTCGTCCTCGTCCATCTGCATGAACTTTCTGACGATGTGATATATTTAAAATTTGGGTATTGTCATACAAGAAGTTCATGCAATTGTGGGCTGTAAGTGGTCATATCGGTCTCTAATTTATTATTATTATTATTGTTTAAAATAATATATGAATATCATGGTATTAAAAAATGATATTCAATAAATAAATAATTTTAATTTTTAATAATAATTTTAGTTTTTAATTTTTGTGTAACAGCTATGTCCGCTTATGGGTGTTTGGATACTTAATTTTAAAGATCTATAACATTTATCTTATGTCGTGTAGCTAAAAGCGTGTTTACAGCTCACAGAAAATTGCTATACACACGTGAAGCTAACACGTTTCTTTTAATTTCAGAACGTGTTCCCTTGGGGGTGCGTGACTGACACGTTTATTCTATCTTTTTTGATGATATTTCATATATTACAGTTTCTATTTCACCATTTCTATTATTATAAACCATTTCGTGGTACTGGATATATTTATTATAACTGCGGACTAGTCCCGGTAACATGTACTTTGGTTCATCTGCATGTTTTGGTGTAGATCGCGTATCCTAAGAGTCCACATATCTTCTAGCAGGTCTCACAACATTTCTGTGGGGTTGAACGAGGTAAGCCTCCCACTGACTTAAGAGCGAAAAAGGTGAGTTTGAGTTTTTTTCTATCATGAAAATTTGTAGAAATCATGTTTTCTCGCCATATAGTAATCAATGTATATTCTCAATGTTACCATATATTTTTTCCAAAGCATTTGATTCAACACTTTCACTGTTATGCGTAATCAACCAAAGCCATTTGAGGTTGTATAACTCAGAGCCTTGCGATATTGTCCCTCAAGTGTGCCAACAGGTTTGTACTGCTCATTCTAAGTAGAATCTGCACTATTCCGTTATCTAATATCTGGTTTCCACGTTTGCTTGCAGTGCTTAGAGCATTAATTGCAAATATCTGAGGCATAAGTTGACAATTCCCGTGCGCCTGTAATTTCACCAGCACCCTTACCTTTCCACCGGAACGCAATAATGCTCATATTACTGCTTGGCGGCAGAAATAGGTGGCAGTATTTCAGTGGATGATCTCATTCACAAAGAGCTCTTCTGCTACTAAAAACCTTAAAAAATACGAATTCAACTTGACAATAAGAACAGAAGATACACGATTGAGTATTAAACACAAAAACAAATTTCGTTCAATAGCTACATACATAGATGTTATAATGAAATTTTCCCTCTCGAGTGCCGTAATTTATAATTAATTTATTCATTGTTTAGTGTGGAGACTAACAAAAGTGTTATATTAAGCACATGAACCCTGTAGGGGAACTGTTCTCATGTCACGACTATCTGTCGTGACTGTGTCGTGGACGTTTATTTTATCATTGAACGGCTGTCGCGTCGTGTCTAGCTGTTCCCAGAAGATCGTGTCGACATTTTTTTCGGTTTACGGCAGCCGCCTCGTCGTTTGCACGACAGAATCATTTGAGGCTGCGATTATCTGTCGTCACATTTGTATCGTGACGTCTTATTTATCATGAGACGACTGTCGTTCTAGCTCTTCCCAATGTTACGACAGTCTGTAGTCGTGACGTCAAAAAAGACATATGTGAACTACTTCATTTAAATATACAATACACGACACTCTAAACTGCACGACTATCTGCGTTATGACATAATGGGGACGCGTCCTTTGAGCTCATTTTACAATAAGAGAGTACTTTATTTCTAAAAGGCATATGTTTACACATCGAGTATATAACCGGAAATAGAGACGAAATGGCATTTAATTTGTTTGAAAACTATTCTGCCAAATCATTACGGTGACAACTGCGCACCGATTGACCAGCCCGAATTCGAAACAATTGATCGTCAATAGTTTCTCTTCAAATCGACCAGTTTAACTTTGCTCAGTTAAGCTTTGCTATAATGGACGAAAATTGAAAAATTACGTATTTAATTACCGAGGAAATGTGACTTGTCTGTTTTGTAGTTATATGTTTTGCTGTTTTTCCCATACCACCGAATGGAACAGCCCCCCATTCTTAGAGATATTATCTTTATTTAATGTAATATAGATATTTAATGTAATGTACAGAATATTTTTGGAATATACGGAGACGCACAGACAGGTCAGTTGGTGACGGTGTACTATTTCAGCTTTGTAATTTTTATAATTTCCGCGCAAACCAAAGTTGATATTTAAAAGTGTTATAAGGCCCATTTACCTGATGAGATGCCAGGGACGGATGACCCTTATTTCGTCTCTATTTCTGGTTATATACTCGATGTGTTTACACATCGTGTATGCTTTTGTGATGCCTTCATAGATCTAAGAGAGTTCATAATTTTTTATAAACTCGTAATTAATAAGGAATACATTTAAAAAATATTTAAAGTATATAGTAAATACTATCAGCAAAATTGACGCTTTACCTCCTCAAGGATTCTTTTTGCGTGCAGGCAATGGCGATAGATAGAAGCCTTTTTTAGCTTGCTTGTTCTTAGCAGTTTAGCGGCTGGATTATGAACCGGGTGTTCGGAACTGGACTGGATTGCGTGTGGTGGGTGCAGGTCTAAGACATCGGAGGTCTGCTAAAGACCTCGGCATTCCAAAGTAGTTGATATATTTGGGATAGATCGTTTATGTATTATAAACAAAGGTTTCCACAAAAAAGGGTCAACAAAACAGGGGACGGGGTTAGATACAATCTCCGCTTGCAGACAAAAACTGTTTGGAACTGGGAAGGCTTCAATTTTGCTGAAAGTACTTCAGAGGGCACCGAGCTTCTGGCGCTCATTGATTTTACGTATTCTATGCGCTCCGTGTTTGTGAGCGTGTGGCATACGTTTTTAAAGCCGTGTGTAAGCGACGCGACCTCCACGTCAGACGGCCGAAGCAGGATTAAAGTGGATAGGGGATAAGGGAATTGTAAAAATGTACGTTATAGAAAAGATGTAGTTTTGTTATTTATAAAGAGCAAACCCCTAGAGTTTCTTTCTCGTTCTTCTCAGGGGAATTTGCCTTACGAATGAGCAGCATAATTTGCTTACCGAGAAAGAAATATTATTTGACTTTAACTTCCCTGGACGAATTTCTTATTTTTACAAGGAGAGCTCCTTGTGAAAAATAAGAAATTCGTTACTAAAGTAAAAAGAGGGGTTGCCCCAGTTTTCGAAAAACAGAAACAGGTTCGTGTCTTGTTAGATCGAAAGCTTTTTCGCGTTTTTCTATGCATTTATAACTATAGCAAACTAATGGAGTAATTTCACAAAATTTATGAATAACATGGTAGTAAATACAATCATAATATTCATTACAATCAATAAGTACTTAAGTGTGTTTAGTCACCTGATTAAGGTTGCATATTTTCGAACAGGTCGAGGTCCATTCTGAAACACCAGTTCGCATGTGTCTGCATATCCGAGACAAGGCTTCTTTGTCTCGACACAAAGCTGTTGTGACGTTTTCACCTGAAATGTAATAAATGGAATAAAACTGCGCTGTCTTTTTGTCTATAGGAACAAGACAATACACCGGCAAAAAGACGTGTATTATCTCAAGTGGAGAATCAACATTAAGTTATATTGGGGTATGTATACTTTGTTCGCGCGATCGGTTGGTATAGGAAACTTTCAATGTGTACTATGATCACGATATCAGTTTCACCAGCCCAATTGCCCTACGATTTGTCGCAACCGATCGCGCGATTCGATTCAACTGAAAAAATATTTCAAATAGTTTTCCAACAGATCATGATAAATTTTAACACGGTTTCAGATTTTTAAGCAAATTTAACAATTACTAATAATTATGCATTTCCTTAGGCCGCTAACAGACTGACTGCTTGTTTGCAATTAATGCGTGAAGTCGTAATCAACTTCATGCAGTCGAGGTGTCGGATAACGACTTCGCGCTTTAACTGCATGTGGTCGAAACCGACTTCAAGCAGCCGAGATCGGATGCATGCAGTTAATGCCTAAAGACGTTATCAACTTCATGCGGTCGTGGTTTCGGCTGCATCAGGTATGTTGAAGCATAATAAGCAATTATATATGCTAAAATAATCTCAAATATGTCAAGGAAATGAAGTTGGTTACTACTTCACGCATGTGTGTGGTTTCGATGCAACAACAGTTCTCGGCATTTTTGCCGACATACTAACGTACACACTCATTGCTCCGCATTAGGGAAACTCTGTATCGCGGGTGCCATGGACACACACATAGACAACCACAAATTACACCCAAACTCACGAGAGAAAGAAGTATAGGCCATATAAATATTTCTCCCGGCCCGGGAATCGCACCTGGGACCTTTGCGTGGCGTAAAATATTATTTTTAAAACCAGAGATGGGCAAGCGCCCGGGATTTAAATCGGGTTAAAACCCATTATAATGCCGAAAATCGAGGGTAAAAACTATGTACAAGTAAATATTTTTTGTATATCGATATAGTAAATCGAGTTATGTTCAAATGTAATGATATTATTACAAAATGTTTATTGTTTCTGTCTTTCTTTTAATCGATACAAAAAATTGTTAGATCGTATGCACTCGAATCGATTTTCGTAAAAATCGCAAAACAGAAATAGGTAAGGTATCCACATCCGTACTACTTCCTTGGACAAACTATTTCACAAGAAGCTCAACTGCTGCTTACTAAGCCACTAGGGTTTCTCTTACTGCTATGATTGTTATGTAATGTTTCAATTTCTCGAATTTGTATGGCACGTCACGTCGATTGAGCGGTAGGGTAATTAGCAACATTGTGTAGGTGAAAGCGAAAAAGGTAGATTGTCTGGTCTCGGTGGAAAGATAGCGTAAGTATTTTTTAATGATAATTGCGGACGAACCATTAATTCCCAGTACTTTTACGTGGAACTACTGCAACCCAAAAGTTCCATATGAACAGTACAGGGAAAGAACATTGTCAGTTTTTTTTTTCAATATTGCTTTCATACTGTATAATAACTGCCTCTGTGGCCGAACGGTTACCATGCCGGACTGCCACGCAGAGGTCCCAGGTTCGATTCCCGGGTCGGGAGAAATATTTGTATGACCTACATTTATTTCTCTCGTGAGTTTGGGTGTAATTTGTGGTTGTCTATGTGTGTCCATGGCACCCGCGACACAGGGTTTCCCTAGTGCGGGGCTATGTTGAGTGTGTGCGTTATTATTATTATTATTATACTGTAAGATAATAAAACGCTAAAATGAATTGGTGTAATCATGGGACTCTCATGACTTTTAACCAAAAGGTTTATTACAAATTTTAACAGAAAAGGAATAGTAGTCATTTATTTAAATATATTATAACAGAAAGTCTAAAAAAAAAAGTTTTTATAACTCGTACTTAGGTTAAAGCAACAGGTATATACTATGATCACACAGATAACATATTGCCTACCTGAGTAGCTTTTCAGATATGTTAGAATAAATTTTAAAATAAAATGCTGCATAAAAACATTAACGTCTTTTAAGTTTCTCAAAAATTATTAATTTATGACAATGACCTTTCTTTCCATGTACCCTTCAAATCCCTTTATTCCCATTAGTTCCATACATGGAGCAACGCGGTCCTATTATAGGGCGAAGCGTTTAATGTCAATTGTCACGTCATTAGCGGGAACTCGCCGAGTACATAACACATAGGTATATTTCTTAGAGGATGGAAAAAAATAAAAGAAAGGAGCTGCCCTAACTACAGAATCAACGTGCATATAACTAAAATTTGAAAGTTACAAATGGCGGATTTCTTTAATGTTGTACCATAATCTATCGATAAGTCATTATCGACATGCAAATGTATGACTTGAATGTTGAAACTGCTTTTTTTTTCTTTAGTTAACTGTAACCAAAGTATGCCTAAACAAACACAAGTCTCATAATTTAATCTCGAGTGGTATAGGTACTATTATAAATGCCAACACGCGTTTTTAAACTTTTTTAAAATTTATTTTTAAGATTACAACTGGTAACATGCAGGCTTTAAAAACATAGTCATTTTTAATAGTTAGAGTTGTCATTGGGAAAAGTCGGAAACGAGTGTATAATTTTGTTTTCAGGAACTGAGAATAACTAGTAAATGAGTCTTGTTTAATTCTAAATTGAACATAAAATTATTTAGCAATAAACCTAATGATGGAATAACATTGTCATGTAATCTAGTTACATTCAAAGTTCTGTTAAAATTTAAATCTTCAATATGAAGCGAACAAATGAAGATGGTCTTTGATCCAACGTTTATATTCGGCAGTCCTATAATTTCCGACCATTCTTTCTTCCTTTTTTCGTTTGTAGGAAAACTTGAAATAATAATAATAAAACAATAAAAACCTCGTAGTGAATTGTTTTAATAACAGAATATCGATAATATATACGCTTACAAGATCAACACTATCTCAAAATAATCGTTAACAACAATCATCAAATATACAAACAAGCAGGCAATCTAAAGTAACAAAAGCAAGATTTGGCAAGACATAAATAAACTACTTAAATAAGTCTAATTACATGAAATATTTGAGCTATTGTGTGATTTATAGACAAATAAATAACACATGCCTGTGCAATGTAACATCCGATTGATTTGCACTTTTTCTAAAACTACATCTCTTAATGCTGCAGCGTCACATTTTTATTAATACCTAATTTTCCTACATCTTTTTCACAATACCGTCCTGTTTCCATTCTCCCCATTCTTTCTAAAGCCCTAGAATCCATTGTACATACACAACTTTATTCTCATCTTACCTCCTATAATCTTTTATGTCCGTTTCAGTCTGGCTTTCGTCCATCTCATAGCACTATTGGAGCATTACTGAACATTACGGAGGACATACGTCGTGCTATGGATGAAACGAAACTCACTGCCATTGCCCTCTTGGATTTCAGCAACGCTTTTAACTCTGTTGACTTCGACATTCTTCTTGGTGCCCTTCAGGCTGTTAATATCCCCTCTCCTATTATAAGTTGGTTCTCTTCGTATCTTTTCGGTCGCCAGCAGAGCGTGAAAATCAATAATGGCTCGTCATCTTGGTCTAACTTAACTGCTGGTGTGCCCCAGGGTGGCGTACTCTCTCCTTTACTCTTCTCTATTTTTATTAATAATATTTCCCGTGTCATTTCTTCTCCCTTCCATTTATATGCTGATGATCTTCAGCTTTATCGTAATTTTGAAGTGGGCGAGGTAGCGGAGGCAATTGCGTCTATCAACTGTGATTTGTCTGCCATTCAGTTATGGGCCAAGTCATGTGGCCTTTTGGTTAATCCAGCCAAGTCTCAAGCAATGATTGTGGGCAGTAGCAGATTGAGGTCCAAGTTGGACTGGTCTTTGGTACCTGCGCTGGTATATGACGGAGTTCCAATTGCATATACTAACAAGGCTAAAAATCTCGGGTTAGTAATGGACTGCACCTTGTCTTGGACTTCTCATGTCAATGAGGTCAGCAGACGAATGTACTTCTCATATCATTCTCTCAAACGTCTCCAATACTTTCTTCCTTTTCACACCAAAATTATGCTTGCGCAAACTCTTTTACTCCCTATTCTTGACTATGCCGACGTTTGTTACTTGGATGCTACCGAAGACCTTTTAAACAAACTAGAGCGTCTACAGAACCTGGCTATCAGATTTATTTTCGGTCTCCGAAAATTTGATCACGTTTCCGAATTTCGTGCTCGGTTAAAATGGCTCCCAATCCGCCTTCGCCGTGATGTGCATATCCTGTTCACCCTTTTTAATATACTTCATGACCCAAATTCTCCTTCCTACCTACGTTCCCGGTTCCAACTGCTTCCCCCTCCTAGCCGCTCAAGGCGTCCGTGCATCACTAAGATGCTCGTTCATCCTAGTTGTAAAACAAATTTCTTTTACAACTCCTTTTCCTCTCGTGCAGCGCAGCTGTGGAACAGACTCCCTTCCCATATTCAGTCTAGTCCGTCAATTGCTTCCTTCAAGAAAAGGTTGACAGCGCACTTTCTTGCTGAACTCTCTTAATAATCATCATATTTGTATATGTGTAAGTTTATTGATACAATGTATTATACGTTATGTAGTCTATTTATTTATATACTATTTTAATTATTTAACGGTAATTTTATATATGCTTATTTTACACATGTAGATTATCATCTTTTGTTATCTCTTTTGCACGCCGTTCCCCGCTTAAAACCTTTGCTCTCACTGCCTTGGGTTGGCTGGAAGAGATCTCTTTTAGAGATAAGTCCACCTTTGCTCACCTTATGTTATTTTTTTGTTTCTGTTTATTTGTTTGGTGCAATAAAGAATGTATAATAATAATTATTCTCACTGTCAATATTTTTGTCCAATTTAATTGTAACTCATGCGAATAATTCAATAGTCCATTTGGAAAAACATTTGTTTTGACATTTGATGTACTTCCCTTTGACAACGGTGTCATGTACCTCATGTACTGCGAAATGGACACGGTTGGCATTTAAGATGACGT